GATCCAAAAATGAAAGTTGTATCCGTTTGTGTCTAGTTTTCAGAAAGGTAAACCATTTGTCATTTGGAGTTGCGTACAAAATGTTATGATGGATACACTACAGGCTGTATGGAAGAGTTTGGAAATCTCTGTTGCACAGGTCTAACTTTGGAAGCTTATATCTCGCAATCTATAAGGAATTGGGAGATAGCAACAATTGAAATTTATAGCTCTTGGAGTCTAGTTTTCAGAAAGTTAAACCATTCATCATTTGGAGTTTTGTACAAAAAGTTATGGCCATTATACTAGAGGCTGTCTGAGAAGAGTTTGAAAATGGCTGTTGGAGAATTTGTTCATCGTGAACGCGAGGGGAGTGTCGCGAACGCGAAGAACAAACCCCTGGATAGTAAAATAAAGTTCAAATTCGTCTCATTCTTCCATTTTTGGACCAATGAAGCTTGGGTGAGGCTATTTTTCGAGAGTTTTTCAAGAAAAACATTGGGGTAAGAATTTCTAACTTGATTTTGGTTAAATTACATGAATCTATTGTTGCCTTTATCACTAAATTAGTGGATTAGATTGAAAAGGGTAGAAATCCTCTAGACTTTAATTTAAGATTTGAAGGGCGATCCGTTATCGAAATTTGATAAAATTGGTCTGGGTGGACTCGTAATTGAATGGGTTGTCGGATTTTATGAGTTTCATCGGATTCCGAGACGTGGGCCCCACGTGCAATTTTTGAGTTAAATTTCAGATTTTTGTTGGAAAATTAGTATTTTCATATGGAATTAATTTCTATAATTAGTATTAACTGAATTGAATTAATTTGGATAGATTTGAGCTGTTCGGAGGTCAATTCAAGCAAGAAGGCTATTTTGGAATATCGGCCTAACTTCAAAAAGGTAAGTATCTTGCCTAACCTTGAGTGAGGGAATTACCCCTTAGACATCGAGTTTTATGTTCCATTTGTGAAATGTGAAAAGTCATGTACGCGAGGTGACAAGTATGTACTCAGGCTTATATGTGCAAAATTGATTGGGTTAAAGTTTTAGACATATTGTGTAGTAAATTGGATAATTGTTGGCATTTATTAAATCATCTATTTGCCATGCCTCAATTCGCGTTTGTTGAATTTATTTTTATATGAAAATTTAATGTGGTTATTGCTTGTATATTTATGTGAATTCCGTGAGTTTGGTGATTTGATATTTCCTGAAAATAATTATATTATGGATTTTCCATCTACAAATTAATTAAATAAGTTTAAACTGAGGCATTATATAATTATCAAGAATTTGGATTAATGAAGGCGTTGCCCTATACTGAGTATTTTCCATCTCTGTTGTTATTTTGAGATTTTATACATATTGTGTCGAGCCTTGGGCTATTTGTTATGAAATTAATTGATTTTGTTATGTCTTTGGAATTGGATGTGGCCATTGGAAAAATTGTGATATGAATTAATTTTGTTATGTTGCCATGATAATATTCTGTGTAAATTATTGTGTTATTTGAGTTATTATTTTGAGGATATAAGTGTTGCATTTCACTGTTGATATTTGTGGGTATAGGATGACATTTCACTATTGTTATATGTATTGGGATATTGTCTGGGCGGAGCGATAAGGGTGGCTATAGGAGCGATAAGGGTGGCTATAAGAGCGATAAGGGTGGCTATTGATATTGTCAGGGCGGAGGGAGACTATTATAGGAGTGATAAGGGTGGCTATAGGAGAGATAAGGGTGGCTATTGTCAGGGATGATATGTGATGATATGGGGTTATTGCGTTGGTAATTTTCATGTGATGTTGTGATTTTCCTTGTGTTTATTTTTATACCTTGTGCAATTTGTCTTGTTGTTGGTAAATGATAATAGTCTGATCTATGTTGAAATTGGGAGCATGTGTTTATTGCCAGGCGGAATATGAAATGAAATCTGGGCACGAGGTGCCGTGAGTAAATAATGATGATATTGGCACGTGAATTGTCCGTGCAGTTGTGATATGAAATGTGGGCACGAAGTGACGTGAGTAAATAATGATGATATTGACACGTGAATTATCCGTGCAGTTGTGATATGAAATGTGGACACAAGGTGTCGTGGTTAAATGATGATGATATTTGGCACGTGAGTTGTCCGTGTGGTTGTGATAGAGAAATTGGCATGGGGTGCCGTGGAAGTATGAAAGTGGGTTGAGACCCATATTTTATGATTTTGAAATATTGTGTCAGAGGGTGACTTTTATTCGAAAGAGATTTATTTGATAGAATTTTATTTGAAAGTATTATATCCTGAAGATTTCTATTTGAAAAACGTATAGGCGAAAGATTTATATTGGAAGGACTTGATTAATTGGTTGTACTTGTATTCATTATTTGTTGTGCAATATTTATGGTGTTCTTGTCGCCCTACTGTATATATCACTGGTTGATTATTGTTGCCATCATTGTTATTTGTTTCCTATTATTTTTGCATATTATATTGCATAGGTTATTAGACTAGTGAGTGTCTCGACTGTACCTCGTCACTACTCCACTGAGGTTAGTCTTGATACTTACTGGGTACCGACCATGGTGTACTCATACTACACTTCTGCACATTTTTGTGCAGAGCCAGGTGTTGGAGATATCGGACTCGGACAGAGTTAAAGTGTGATCGCAAGGATTCAAGGTAGAGCTGC